ACTAGGGACTAGAATGTAAAGAGTCATGCAATTAAAGAGTGAGGAATCAGAGTGAGCACAATTCAAAATTGTAGTGCTAGCACCAATACCTTTACTAAAAGTAAATGCTTCTTCCCCTTCTCTCCAGTGCCCACTGTTAGAGAAATGACAGAGAGTAATTGTACAGACATCACAGAATTAGTGAAGATCCAATGTTTTCATTTTTTTTCCAATCGAAGCATTAGTGCTAAATAAAGATTTAAATTAAAAAAAAAACTACCCAGTGTAGAATTTTCTTTAGAAAAACTAAAATTATGAAGACTTTCATTTTAACCCTCTTGGCTAAGATTTGCAATTAGATAAAAGGAAGAGAACTTGTCATTTCTCAAATGAAGTATAATGTCTATTCATAAATACTACTTTGTTGCAGTGTCAAATTTCTTATTAAGCTATCGAATGGAACTGAGGGCTGGTCACTGCCTTTGCCATGCCAGTTCCTTGGTTTAGTAGCCATTAGGTCACTGATGAGACATGAAAGACCGACACTCGAAGGAATGCAGTGTAATAACAGCATCACTACAGAGATGAAGTGAGGGAGAGGGGCGGCGGGGGGAGGGCCAAACACCATAAACACCGACATAATTCCTGAGTTCGAAGCCCTGCAAGGCTCTCAAGTTCTATGCTGAGACTTTATTCATAACCAAAAAGGGATAAAAAGCTATGAGTTTTTCTTTGTTTTTCTAGGGTAGCCATAGCAGCTAACCCCCTAGAAATACCCTTCAACTGTGGGCCACACCATGTGAAATAATTGTGCAACAAACTGCTCTGAAGCCTACACTTGGAGATGAAAGATGCTAGGAAAGGCGGCTGCTCGGCTGCAAGGAACCCCTGCGACAACCTTTGGAAAGACCCCAAGTGGGAAGAAAAGAAAAGTTTTTGTGTCTAGACTTCATCTCTTCAGAACTAAATCTCATCTCCCAGGGCGGTTGTTTGCAGAGTGATAATTAGGATTAGCTACAAGCTGGCTCTGTGCCGACTCATCTCATAAGTAAGTCTTCACTTACTCCCATCTATCTTTTTGCCACCATCACTGACTTCAGGAGCTGGAAATAATGACACAAGAGTGAAGAAACCAGCCAGCAGATAGTTTTAGGTTCAGCTGTTTTACGTCACCACCCCCCACACCAAGGATCCATCACAAATTTTGACTGATCACTGGTAGGAAAGTGACAAGTGATTTCTAAATTGTCCTCAGCAAATTGGTCTCTCTTACTAATCATTAATGACACTTAATTATGTACTGATATTTAGAGTACCATGTTAAAAAACATTCTGTCTCCCAATCTACCACCAAGAAAAAGGGTCATTCTTGCTGTACTGGAGAAAAGATCTTCTGGTGAACTAGCATCAGATAGTATATGATGTTACTGAGAATATAGAGATGTAACAGTTGTTATGGAGCTTGTCTTGAATGTGGCCAAGCCAGATTCAATCCCTGGTGTTGTCAGGAATTAACCCTGAGCCCCGAACCAGGAGGAAGCCCTAAGCACTGTCTGGTATGGCCCCCAAACCAAGAAACCAAAGATGAAATAGCCAAAAGAAGTTTTTCAATAAGTCTCTTGGTTAGGTTAGGTTAGCCCAGTATTGTCCCAAAATGTGATAGCCATTACATCAGAAATCTCTAAGAACATCTGATATGGTACATGTTTAAAATTATATAAAACGGTCATGCTATATCTATCTATCTATCTATCTATCTAATGTATAATATGTAAATTGTACTGTTGGGAGAAAAAGTATAGGATACAATGATCCTAAGAGTTAAAAAATATTCATTAGGATAAGGCCCCAATAAATATTTTAATTGATTCAAAGAAAAATGTTAGGGAAGTAAGTAGGTAGATAAGTTGGAATTATGGTGGGTAAGACAAAAACATGAGGTCAGCATAGAAATGACTCCAGCTGACAGCACTGCTTTTCTGGGCTACAATCCTCAGGCTATCGCTGGAAATGTCCAGTCCACAGGCCATTAAAGGTTCAAGAAATCATGTGGCATAGACCTGGTACATGATGGGACAAACATGGAAACTTCTTGTTCGCTGTCTACAGCCCATCTGCCTAGACTGTAAGGATTATGAATGATGCCAGATATCTATCTAAATGGCTCTTGGCAGAAGAAAGGTTTCCTACTCCTACCCTATGGTTTGTATGTAGCAAAAGAGAGAGCTCTCTCACCATGATTCAGTTGGGCTAGCACAATGGCTAAACTTTCCCATCCTTTTCAACTCTGTATAATAACCTGACTATGAGTGTCACATGGTTTTAGGACAGGAACCAGGGTGCATTTGATTTTTTTATGATCATTCTAAGAGAGGATATAAGAAGTATCAGTAAACTGATGCATTTTTAAGGGAGAAAGTCAACATAAAGTTTCCCATTCTGAAGAGAACCTGGGAATAGTTCTCTTAGAGCAAGGGTTTTCCTGAACAAAATATATAACTACTCTTGAGATTGGGAACTACCTTTTATTAAACTTTGGTAACAAAGTTTATTCTTAAGTAGCTCCACAATAAAAGTACATAATACATGTGTGAACTTGATCACTTGATCACTTGACTTCCCGTTAATCATCGATTTACTCGAGTGGGCGCCAGTAACGTCTCCATTTGTCCTTGTCGCGTGCTAATGTAGCCCAATGACGTCTGTTCACTCTAGGAACACAAAGAGCCTCAAACCGATCGTTCATGATCTTGATGAAGAAGTTTGACCATCTGGTAGGTGGGCGGCCACGCGGTCTTTTGACATCCCGTGGAATCCAGTAGGTAACAGCTCTAGTCCAGCGGTTGTCTTTAAATCTCATTATGTGACCAGCCCATCTGATTTTTGACACCTTGGCAAATGAGACAGCGTCTCTGATTCTTGATCATCGACGGAGGTCGGAACTCCGGATTCTTTCTCTCATTTGAGTGAAACGTGATATTCCAAGCATAGCTCTTTCAATTCCTCTGTGGGAGACCGGAATAGCGTTCTCATCCTGTTTGCATAGGGCCCAGGTCTCTGAGGCGTATGTTGATGCAGGAAGAACAGTGGAATCAAAGAGATGTGCCCGGAGCCGGAGGTTCTTCGTCCTCTTAACTATTTCTTTGACGCTCTTGAAGGCGTTCCAAGCTGCTCTCTTCCTCCTGCGCAGCTCGGGTGCCAGGTCATTTGTCATGTTGACTTCTCGACCTAGGTACACATAGCTGTTGCATTCGGAGATGGTCGTTCCGTTGAGAGCGAATGGGGCGTCAGGAACGAGGTTGTTTCTCATAAACATTGTCTTCATAAGATTCAGCTGTAGTCCAACCTTTTCACACTCACGGTTGAAGTCGGCCAGCATTTGTGCCACTTGGCTGATGTTTGGTGTTATTAAAACAATGTCATCAGCAAAGCGGAGGTGGTGTAGTTGCCGACCATCTATCTTCACTCCCATTCCTTCCCATTCCAGTCATCGGATGATGTTCTCGAGGGTGGCACTGAAGAGTTTCGGTGAAATGGTATCACCCTGCCGAACCCCTCTCTTGACATCAATGATTACTTCTTTGTAGAATGGTGAGATCCTGGTAGTGAATCCGTAATACAGCTCATGGAGGATCTTGATGTATTGAGCTTGAATGCCCTGATTGGCTAGGGCTTCAATGACCACTTCCGTTTCAACAAAATCAAAGGCCTTCTTTAAATCAATGAACATTAGACAGAGCGGCATCTTGAACTCCCGAGAAACCTCAATGAGCTTGGTTATTGTGTGGATGTGGTCAATGGTGCTGAATCCTTTGCAGAACCCGGCTTGCTTGCATGGTTGTCCTTCATCTAGTGTTCTGCCAATCCTATTTAGGATGACTCGAGGGAACAACTTGTAGATGACAGACAATAGGCAGATAGGGTGATAGTTGCCAATGTCACGGATGTCTCCCTTTTTGTACAGTAGTACAGTCCTGCTGGTTTTCAGACACTACCTCCACTATCCAGCCGCCGCCACACTCCAGGATGCTTTCCGGACCCGCGTGGCCACTCTGGCCGAGACTCACGCACGACTGAAGCCCCACAGAACAAGATAAGCGGAACTCTCTGAGACCTTGGACTCCAGGCTCAACGGACCCAGGGACAGAGATTCTCTGCTTGCTCCCACCAACCACAGGTGACAAAGGGATTCTAATCAGGAGCCCCACCCTACCCTGCCCTGTCTGCTTCCACCAACCACCAGGGACCCAGGGATTGGATTGCACACAGAAGACCCACCCTACCCCTACCGGGAGCAGATAAATACCTCACTGGCAGACCTCCACTACCGACACTACCTCCACTACCCAGCTGCCGCCACACTCTAGGATGCTTTGGGACCTGTGCGGCCGCTTTAGACACTAAATACCTATCTTCCAGAATTTCCCTACTATATTTGATAGGGTTCAAATATGGTAACACCTACGAGGGCGATTAGAGGTCGCCCCAAAAGCCTCTATCCCTCTCGGAAAGCCTGGCAAGCTACCGAGAGTATTCTGCCCGCACGGCAGAGCCTTGCAAGCTATCCGTTGTGTATTTGATATGCCTAAACCAGTACCTTTACTTTACTTTACTTTAAACCAGTACTTATATGTGTGAACAAACAGCTATATATATTTATGAGTATTTCAGAATAATATCAACAGAACTCTGCACCTAGGTGAAAGGAAACTGTTGTTTAAGAATGACACCTCCCAGGTCAGACAGGAGAGTGGATAAGGCACTTGCCTTACCTCAGTACCCAGCCCCAATTCAATCCCCAGCACCCCAGATACCTGAGCCCTACCAGAAGCCACTCCTGAGTGCAGAGCCAGTAGTAAGCCCTGAGCACAGGCCCTTGTAGCCCCACCATCCCACCACCCACAAAAAAAAAAAAAAAAGGAAAGGAAAGAAAAAAGAAAAAAAAAGAAAAAGAAAAAAGAAAAGAATAAAAAGAAAAAAAAGAAAGAAAAGATAAAAGAAAAGAAAAGAAAAACACCTACCTTGGGAACAATCTTCACGTGAAAGAGAATATTCTGGAAGGAGTGTCCATCGTTGGCCTGCAGCACTGCCACGTCAGAAGTGCCGTGTGAGCCCCCATGAGCGTAGTGGACAAGGCCCCTGGACAATTCGTCCAGCCGGAACTGATAGAGTGGAGCCGGGGGCGACTGCAGCGTGTGCAGCAACTGGCCGTGAAGCGGAGGGTCCAGCACCTCGACAACCACATCCTGGGGGTTGTCGTCATCCCGGATGTCGAGCAGCTGGTTGGTGATGGTCCCCTTCTCTCCTCTGCTGATACGCAGAGCCTCGTTTCTCAGCACATAGGGGGCCTGAGGAGTTAAGAAAAAGAGAGGTAAAGAGAACACGGAGAAGGAAGAAACAGCCACCGAGTGGACGAGCAGCCAGCCTTCTGCGGCTGGGTTGATGTTTTGATGCTCCTGCACCTCCACCCCGCCCCTCAGTGCTAGCTCATTCCACAAAGGCAAAGCTTTTGCCAGAGGTGCCATCCATCCGTCCTACTAATCACTGAAAGAGAAGTTCATTTCCACCTCTGCTTCTGGAGGGTCCTCAAGCTTCTTCAAGAACAGAGAATTCTGGGGGCTGGAGCAACAGCACGGTGGGGAGAGCATTTGCCTTGCATGTGGCTGACCTGGGTTTGATTCCCGGCATCCCATATGGTCCCCCGAGCACCACTAGGAGTAACTGCTGAGTACAGAGTTAGGAGTAACCCCTGAGCACTGCCGGGAGTGACTCAAAAAGGGAAAAAAAAAACAGAGAATTCACCAGAAGTAAAATGAGGAGAGCTGCTTGCTTCTATCTCTCTAACGTCTCTGCTCTCTTCAGTTGCACCAGAGGCTCTCAAATAAGTTTGAGAATAAAATCCAAATAAAACTGCCCCCTTCTCAAGAAAAAAAAAATATTCCTCAGTAACACCCCGGAAATCAACCTTTTTTTTTTAAGTAAAACAACAGAAAGCATGCCCAGTTGCACCTGAGGCTTCAACACCTCCCCCCCATCATTCCAGAGCACCTCCTGGTGTCCTCCCCTCCCCTCCCCACTCCCTGGAGGTATCTCCCTCTGCTTTGTAACTGAGACCAGGTCAAGGTCGGAAACCCTTCAGTTGTGTGACTCCAGGAGAGCCTAATCAGAGCTGAGGCGATTGTGGGCTGAGCAGAATGGGCTCTGCGTCAGGAAGGTGTCTGTACTGAGTTCCTGCTCTTTCAGGTCTCCGACTAAGTTCCTCCAGCTGTGTCTCCTACAGCCTGAAGAAGCGCATCTCAGCTCGGCCTGAGCAGACTGTGGGGCCCAGTGAGTACAGCAACCATCTGGTTATCTCCTGTGGGACCATCAGAAAAGCAAACCAACACTCTCCTGAGGAGCACTGGCTTTCCTCACCAATGTGAGCAACAGATAAAATGCCCCTTCATAAAGATAAAAGTTACTGAACCACAACAGGGAAAAAATATTCACGTAAACAAACAAACACACAAATCCCCTGAGTCCAGAAGCCAAAGAAAACGTTCTCCTGGTTATTTTATATCATCTGAAGTTGAACCATCTTGGACTTCTCAGCACACTGCCTTCTTTAATCCAAACGGCTTTCTTTATAAATTACCCAAGTACCCTCCTGGCCTCCTGGAAATTTCAGTACCTATTAAAGTAATGTCTAACTAATGCATTATTATAATAATCACAGAGCGAAAATCCAGATAACAGCTGGTCCTCAAAATTCCCAAGTGAGAGTTCAAAAGCTATGATTCTCTACATGGGAATAAGTGACCCCTCAGATTTCAAAAGCGAATGTCAGAGGTGATGTCAAGATCTGTAAATGGAAATGATCAAATTAACTCGCATGAGGAAATCTTCAGGGAGGCACAGATTCATGGCAAAATATCACAGAAAGGTAAGGGAAGAAAATGCTAAGAAAATGTATTTCTAAGATTCCACCTTTGGGGGCTACAGGAATTCAGGAGTGTTGGGGACTAGAGGACTCTCCCTGTGACACTTGGCCAATTAATCCTGACACTTCCATGCCCAGACCTTGCCATGCTCAGGGCGTCCAGGGCTGTGGAGTGTGGGGAATCAAGCCAGGATCCCAGTGCATCTCCCTAACTCCAACTGCAACTTTCTGAAAGTTAAAATGGGAACAACTTCTCATATAATGAAGATAATAGAAAAATAGAAATCACTATCTACTCACTTGATTTGGGTAAAGTTTTATTAGGGAAACCCTGGGAACTAACCCTCTCTGGTTAGGAAGTCAACCATCAACATCTACCTGTCTTTTTTAACTCACCTAATCAAAGTAACCATGTTAACCCAAACCAAAACGAGCAATACACAACTTGTGAGCTTAAGCAGCAAGAAGCATCTAAGACAGTATATCCTGAGACCTGATTTGCTCAAATTTACAGATAAGACAATATCTTAGCTTCAATTGAGAAAGGAATTCCTAGGGTTGGAGCAATCGCACAGCAGGTAGGGCGTGTGTCTTGTAGGCAGCCAGTCCGAGTTTGATCCCAGGCACCCCGTATGGTTTTCTGAGTCCCACTAGGAGTGATGCCTGAGCGTGGGGAGCAAGAAAAAGCCTTGACAGTTGGGATAGAGAAAGGGAGCACTATGACAAAGATAGTTGGAAATGATTGCTCTGGATAAGAACTGCATGCTGGAAGTGGGTGAGGGAGCAAGCATGATAACTAATCAGTATCTGTACTGTAGACCATAATGCCCAAAAGTGAGAGAGAGAGACAGAGACAGACAAACAGACAGACACATATGCAGAGAGAGAGAGAGAGAGAGACAGAGAGAGACAGAGAGAGAAGGAATGTGCCTGTCATAGAGACAGACTGGTGGCAGGGGAAGGGGGAGGGTGGTGGGAAGGAAACTGGGGACATTGGTGGTGGGAAATGTGCACTGGTGGAGGGATGGACGTTGGAACACTGCATGACTAAAATCTGATCATGAACAGCTTTGTAACTCTATCTCATGGTGATTCAATAAAAAGAAAAAGAGAAAAGAAATGAAATGAAAAGAAAAAAAAGAATAAGCTCTGAGCACTGCTGTGTGTGGCCCCAAAAAGGGAAAGAAAGAAATTCCTACTTTCTGTCCAACCCTGGGATCAAATTAGCTTGGGATGAATTTCTCATCATCCCTGGATTTCAGTCACCCGAGGTGAGACTGCAAAAGAGGTACATGGGTGGGGAGCAGTGTGGAGAGTGATTTGCTTCAAGTCTATGTTATCTGGGATCTTGCTCTGCTCATTGGGGGCAAAAAAAAAATATGAACATATCTGTGTAAAAAAAAAAACACTGATCTTGTTTCTCAGAATAGAATTTACACACTGGCAAGTTGGATATTTAGGTTGTCTAAATAGGACATTTGATCCTGCGGCTGCCTGTGTTTCCCTATCTGTTCTCAAGAGAACATAGCCCTTTCCCTTCCCTCTCTGCGCATTTTAGCTGCTCACTCCCTCAAGCTCAGCCAGTCAGCACAGTGACCACAATATGTATTCTGGACACATCAGTTCAAGTCGACAGCTGAATGATAAGCGCAGAAGAACCATCACATTTAGTTTTATAGCATCTACCAGGATTTCCTCTGACCCACGTTTGACGGATGACCATGCAGGCACCCCATTTAAGTTCATCGTTAACAAGGTGCTGTAACTACTGCAAACTGAGTTTGACATCGTCTGGCTACATGATAGGTAAAATAACCCTGGAGAAACATTTAAGTAAACTCAGCCAAGAATAAGACAAGTCTTAACTGGAACAACTTCCAATTGTTCTGAGAAGCCAGTATTGGATTCAATACTGTCAAGTCAGGCACCATAATACAATGGTTAACAGCACAGATGCTGACTGCACACAAACCTCACCTCACTTAGCTACATCACCATAAACCACTGACTAAAACTTGCGGTGACTTAGTTTCCTCTTCTGAAAAATTTGGGATAATAATGTCACATGAGGTCATTGTGAGGACTGAATAAGAAATGCTAACTAATACTTACTATAGACATGTAAGTTCTTGTTTGGTTGTAAGGTTATTTATTGTTCACAAGTGCCAAACACTGGTCTAGCGGCATGTGAAGCAAATAAAACAATATTAATTTAGCTCATCATTTTTACTAAGAGTCCAAGAAACCTCAGATTACACTTGAGACTTAGCATGAAATTATTAATCATGCAAAAGTTTCCTTACCTGTGTTGAAAATGCTTGTATGTTGATCAGCTTCGGCTCAGAGAAGAACTGCTGGTCACTGATTTTCAGCGAGAAGTAACCTTTCCTAAAAGACATGCCCCAGAACGGAAAAGGAAAATACAATCATGTTGTTAGTCATGAGAAAGACAAAGATTTAGAAGTATTTTCAGCAGGGGTGGGGTCTGGGATTTGGTTCAGTGGCTAAAATATCTGCCTGGGAATCACGAGGCTGCAAGCTCACCCCCTGGTGCCCAAGACATATGCAAGCACGATGCAGGAACCACTTCTGCCTGTCGTCTCTGATGCTGCTCTGCAGGGTGAATTCTCACTTCAGGGGGACTGACGAGCACCCAAACTAAAATAAGCAACGCCAGACCAGGAAGTGTGGCCCTTCAGCCAGTAGATATACAAATACACCAGCTACAGGAATGCAACCCTCAGAGAGCACTGAGGCTGAGTGTGAGGAACGTGAGATGCTGGGCAACCCCAGGTGAGCTACGCAACTCCACCGCACAAGCATCACAGCCAAGGGTGGCTGGAGTCATGGTCATCACAGCAGCAGCTCAACAGAGGGGACATGAGGGGAGCAGAGAAACGAAGTCCTTACATTTCCAGGTCACAGGCAAGTAAGAATTTGCATCAAACCACCACAGGAATATAACATTCATACTGCAAATTAAAGAAAGATGTCTGGGGAATGGGCTCATTGGTATGGCACTGGGTGAGACCCTGGGTTGGATCCCTGACACAGGAAAAACAAATGACCAGATAAAGATGAACATGAGGAGATGCAAATAAAACTACTATGAATTTAAATAAAACTACTATGAATTTTTAGATCTCACGATTACATAAAAATAATGTGAGATGAATGTTTTTTTTGCTTTTTGGGTCACACCCAGCCGATGTTCAGGGGTTACTCCTGGCTCTGCACTCGGGAATCACTCCTGGCGGTGCTTGGAGGACCGTATGGGATGTTGGGAATCAAACCCGGGTCGGACGCATGCAAGGCAAATGCCCTACTACTGCTATTGCTATTGCTCCAGCCCCTCAAATTTTTTTTTTTACCAAAGTATTTTTTGATAATTTTCTTAGCCATTTAGTTGTAACAAGTGATATAAAACACATTACTGTGTGCTGGCTAAGGGGGCAGGTTTGGGGGTGTTTGGGGGGATGGTGGAGGGAAGGTCACACTGGAGGTGGGATTGGGATCAGAATACTGAATGCCTGAGACAACTGTATTATGAACAACTTTGTGAACCATGGTGTTTAAATAAAGGGAAGAAAAGAATGTGAACATGCTGCTTCCTATTTTTTAAGTAAATATTTTAAAAATAAATATTGATTTGAAAAGATAGTGGCATTTTACATGCTCTGTTGGTGCACAGTTGACCCGGGTTCAATTCCTGGCACCCCAGATGGTCTTCAAAGCCCCACCAAAGTGATTCCTGAGTACAGAGCTAGGAGTGAGGCCTGAGCACCACTGTGTGTGGCCCCAAACCAAAGAAAAATCTAAGTGAAATATACAATGAGTTAAATATTAGCAGTCAGGGCAAGTTAGTAATACAGGATAATGGTCAAACAGGAGAACGGAACTTTCATGGTATCTGAATTTTTCGCAATGACTTCTGTCTCCTACAGACCCTCTTCTTAACCTCTGCCTAATTCATGAGTATGAACTCTCAATAGCAATGTCTGAAATCATATTTGAATGAGATGACTGCACATATTCCTCCCCCAGCACATGTGTATGCAATGCGGGGCTAGAGAATGAAGACTGACAATTAGCTTGAATTAGAATTAGCTTGAAAGTCCCATTGGGCTATAGGGAACCATGGCCTATCATGACTACAAGAACATGGACCCAGGCTTGTGAATGATGAACAAAGAGGCACTGAGACAGGAGGAAGACTTGAACCCTGTTTCCTGCTTCTGATTCTGGACTTGTTCTAAACTGACTCTTCCTTGCTGCCTTCAAGATCTAAGCCATGCCTAGAATGTTATCCATAATGAGCCTTACTAGTTTTCTTAATCTAGTTCAAATCGATTTCCATTACTTGCAACCAAAGGGCTTAATTAGGAGAACAAAATAAGGCTCTTTGCTGTGGTTCTTATTTTCAGTGAAAGAATGTTCCAACAGCTGCAGGCCTCATGGAAGGGAAGATGGGAGTTATCTGCCTTCAAAGACCAACCAAGTGCAGAAGTCATTGCCGAATGGTCAGCTGTGGCATTAACACACTCTGGCAGTTTAAACATTTTTGTCAACTATAGAAACCATTGTTTTTCAAGTTTTTTTTAAAACAGGTTTCCTTGTTTGTTTGTGCATTTATTTTTTAGGCAACACTTGGTGATGCTTAGGGGTAACTCCTGTTTTGGCACTCAGGAATTAGTCATGGCAGTGCTCTGGGGACCATATGGGATGCTGGAGATTAACCCTGGGTCAGCTGTGGCCGTGTGCAAGGTAAGTACCCTACCTGACGTATTCTCTCTCCAGCCCCCATCTCAGCTATTCAGGGAACTATACATACACTGTAAGAACGTGGATGGAGCTCAAACGCATTATGTAAAACCCTGGAACAAAGATTTCATTCACATGACATTTCAGAAAGGATAAGACTATTAGGGTAGAAAACAGACTAGTACTTTACAGGGATCTGGGAGGAAGGGAGTGGCTACAAAAGGGAGTTTTTTGGACAAAAGAACTATTTTACATCTTGTTTCTGGTTGTGGCTTGAGACGGAGTCTATTATTTGTTAACACTCATGGTCACACACTAATAGTGTTAACAACTATGTAGTCTCCATTTAAAAACATAATAATTTATTGAATGCAAACCATACCATTACATATATATTTTTTTTCCTCATCTTCTTTCCTCCACTCCATCATCATGCTTTCTGCTTCATTTATTTTATTTGTACGGAGGGCTCCTAAGCAGTGCTCCGGGGCCCAAGGGCCACTCCTCACAATAGAACATGGTAGTGCTTGGCCAAGTGATGTGAAGCAGCTCAGGCCCTGTGGTGCTCAGGTGCCACCAGGCCTACAGCTAATAGAGCTCAGGGACCACTTGGTACCAGGAATCAAAGTCGAAGCCGTGGACACTCAAGGCCTGTCCTCCAGTCCCTGAGTCCTTCTGCCCCACTGCCATCCTGCCGCTCTCTCCCATGTCTAGACTCTGAGGGAATGCAATTAATGAAAGCACAAAGAAGGGTGTCACCCCCAGCCTACTGGGAAAATTGCCTGATGATTGCATCAAGGTTCCAGTGACCATATTTAGCATTTCAGTGAGGTTAGTTGAGCACAGTCACTAAGGACTATATTTAGAGACTGTCCTATCAATTACAGGAGTTTTCCCCTCCCAACAGAATCTCAGAGAGTACAGCTAGGTGAGGTGTTTGCCTTGTTCGAGGCTGACCTGGGCTTGATCCAGGGCACTACATAGGATCCCAGAGCACTGCCAGGAGTGATCCCTAAGCATAGAGACAGGAATAAGCCTTAAGAATAGCTGGATATGGTCCTCAACACAATAAAGACTGGTAACACACACATACACACACACACACAAAAAAAAAACCTTAAAGGAATCTAATCGAAAAGAAGCATGGCTAGTGTTTTCATGGGGAAAACAAAATACAAACCTATGTGGTAGGCTGTTTCTTTGTTTTTGGGTCATCAGAACCTGTATGTATAATGTATGTGAGATACATACATACATACATGCAAAACATACTATATATACTTATATACACACCATATGTATTTATATATACTATATATTTATATATATAAAATGTCCTCTTTTTCATGAGTTCCTGCTAACCTTATTTTACTATTCTTCTCATTCTTTCTTTTGATGTGTTTTTTAAATAAAGAAAATCCACCATTGCAGTGGGTACCAAATATATATATATATATATATGGAATACTCAAAGAATTGCCCCCCAAATGGTGTCATCCTTTGTTCTGTTTCAGGGTTCAAAGCTATTCAATGATGAAACATTCATTCAAAGATGAAAGAGGCTAAAGAGCTAAAAAGGTTGACTTTGGTCGTCTATGGTATTCATACATTACACAGTAAATTCCATGACAAATAACCATTGGCCTTGCATGATACCTGTGCATGATATCTGTGTGTCATACAAACATATGAGAACAACAAAACGAAAGCATGGAGTGGAGCAAACATTTGAAGAGTGGCATCAAACACCAGCAATTTAAGCTTCATTTCCGCAGAAATAACTTCTCAATGCAGAGATTCTTTGGCCCCTCGAGAATGAAAGCACACGACCAACCATGCCCCAGTATGATGGAGGAGGCAGAAACTGTAAGGAACAGACGAAGGGCTGTGGAATCACAGAGCTGCGCGTGGGAGTCCCAGCTCCACACTCACAGACCATACACGACATTACTTATCCTCTCAAGGCACAGCCTGCCTGGAGATGAGGAATAAACTGCATATGATTTACATAAAATGATTAGTAGAACGCCCAGCTCAGAGCTAGCCATTAGTAAATGTTGCTTGTTCTCATTTCTATAAATGCTTCTTTGAGGTTACTGGTATCACCAGTGCTGACCTGCAACTTTTCTTTCCACCTGTTGCTTAGTCCAAACCTTAAAAAACAAACAAACAAACAAACAAACAAACAACAACAACAAAAAACCCTCAAATCGAATGGGAGCAGTAAAAGTGATTCTCTGTATCATTACCACTATTCCCTGAGTTTTGATTCCTGTTTTTCATAGAGTCTCCCATGAATTATCTGCACCAATGAAGCAGAGCAGTGAGGAGAGTCCGAGGAGCTAATCTGGATTTTCTCTAGAATTAGTAGAAATTCTCTGCCAAATATATGGCATTTTTTGCTTGGGTTGGTGTGAACAATCACACCAGCAACCTGTGTTCCTGAAGCACAGGTCAGCTGGAGTGGGGAAGACTCCCAGAAGTGGGCTAAACACAGGGAAAAGCCGGAAAAGGCTCGCAGATTAGCGAGATTTAAAGGCATCAAGTGGATAATAAATAGACACTTGGCACGACTCTTCTCTGTCTTCTAACTCTGGGATTCTAGGAACCAGACAAAGGCTTGAAAATCACGTGCTTAGTTCTCCTGGTACTCCACCACATTCCCCAATGTTGAAGAAACAGCCATCGCATCTCTTGTTTCTAATAAACCCCCAAATTTAGTAACTGTTCTATGAGCCATCACAGCAGAGAACTGCCCATAATAATGATTAAAAATGATTAATAAAAAGTCCCCTCATAGTGCTCTCTGAGCAGTTACAGTGAAATAACGGTAGGCAGCTGAAGCATTTGTCCTTTGTGAAGTATCGGGAAAGGAAGGGGTGGCTTCTGGAGAGAGAGACGGGGCAGGCCACGCCCTGCTGGGCCAGAGGAAAGGGGAGCACGGGGCATGGAGTCACCTGGGCTTCTCTTTGCTGTGCACAAAACGCACTTTGTTCTCATGCACATCTTTCCAGCTAAAGTGCTTGGCCTTGTCGAGCTGAACCTCTTTTCCGTTCCTCGAAAGCACCAGCTGACCGTTGGTGGGAGTGCTCACAACGTGGAACAGGAGGTCTTCGACGCTGCCATCCTGGTCTTGGACATTCAGGAGCGAGAAATCAAGTGGCTTCATTGAACCAATGGCAAGGGTGAGGGAGCCATTTACATGAAGACTCGGGGTGTGTATTTGGCCTAAAAAATGTATTAATTCAGAGGTCAGCTTGGCACATTCACTAATTACATCTTTATTAAAAAAACATAGATAAGTAATATTCAGAGGCACAGAGATGAAAGAACATGGGTTTCCATATTCCATCATTCAAACGTTTCCATAACACACATGAAGTTATAGGATCGCATGTTTAACTAGAACCCTCCCCATTTGAAATGACCAGAGCAGACCTACTTGATCTTGAATTAGGCAATGTTTTCCTATAAAAGCAAAGTCACAAAATAAAAATAGAGAAATTGGATATCATTAAAATAAAAGTAGTTTTGGGTCTTAATGGATAGCAGCAAAAAAAAAATTGTGAAGACAACTCACAGAATGGCATAAAACACTTGTATATCATTTCTCAGAAAAGAGACTTGTAGTGAAAGCATATAAAGAACTCTTACAGCTCAAGGGAAGACAACCCAATTTAAAAACAGGTGAATAATCTGAATAGGCATTTGGAAGACAAATAAAAGGTCAATAAGCACATAGAAAGGTTTTGGACGTTATTAGTCTTCAGGAGAATGTGAATTGAAACCTCATTGTGATTCTATTCCACAAGATCTAAGAAGGACAATAAAAGAGTTCTTTTGACATGTGGATAAACCGAAACCTTCATCTATTGCTGGTGGAAATGTCAAATGGTGCAGCAGTTTAGGGAAACAGTCTGGCAGTACCTCAAACAAACATAAAGCTACTAGATGACCCAGCAAATCCCCTCCAAGGTATATATCTAAAAGAACTGCAAATATAGGTATTGTTTTGGATAGCATATTTTTGCATAAAAACTTCTACATAAATAATCATGGCAGTCTTTTTCACAATAGTCCTGAGTGCAGATACTCAAAAGACATTCATCCATTGATGGATGGATAAAAGAAATATGGTATATATCCACATAATACACTGTTATTCAAACAAACAAAAAAAACCCAATGATGTAGCAGCACATTCCCATATTCATCAAGTGGATGAATCCAGGAACAGCTACATGAAAGAAGCCAGTCATAAAGACCATATATTGCATGACTGCATGAAACGTTTAAGGTCGGTAAATCTGTATAGACAAAGAGTAGATCAGTGCTTGCAAAAAGGAAACCACAGGAAAAGGTTGCTGATAATTATTAGATTTCTTTTTTAGGGTGATTAAATATCCTGAATTATGGCACGGTAATGGTTGTCTATGTGAATATTGTAAGTCACTGAATTGTACATTTTAATGGGTGAATTCCACTATACATAAAACATATCTCAATAGTTAGATAAAGAATGGGGGTCTTCAGAAACAATGCTTCTTGTTCCCCATCACCAAATTTCAACAGATAGGGGGTATGGAGAGATAGTACAGCTGGTAGGGCATTTTCATGTACATGACTAACCCAGGTTAGATCCCTGTATTCCCTTAAGCACCAACATGAGTATATTCCTGAGTGCAGAGCCAGGAATAACCCCTGAGCCATCACTGAATATGGCCCCCAAACCAAACCAAAACAAAAAAAGATGCTCTGGCTCAGAACCTCAGGTATTTTATATTTCCAGGTAACTCTAATAATCTTTCAAGTTTGAGAACCCTGGTCCTATCCCAATATATATGAAAAACAGACCTACTGAAAGCAAGAAGATGGGCTAATAGTATTTTCTAAAACAGTATCAATGACTCGATAATGCAGGAGGATGATTAGAGGTTTATATTCAGCATTCATCTGAAAGATATACATTTTATGTGAAAAATTATGTGGCAGCTTTCCACAGGAAGCATCTGATGGGTACATTAGGGTTTCCTGACCACAATACAGAATTCATCCTGTCTCCTGCTTGTTTCATCTGCATTCTAATTGGTCACGTTTCCTTTTACAACCAGGTGAGGCAGGACTGCTTGGCACTGCTAAATTTCAGGGCTCTTCTACTGTAAAATTATTCTAATGAAAGCAAATTCATTTTTGCAAGCTGTCTCACATTATACCCCAAGAGAAGGAATCTGACTGTCAAGTAATTGAGGTTCCAGAAGGATCTCCCCTGAAAATAGGCTAAAGATTCTTCCCTCATGGGAAATCTTAATATCTTTAGAAGTCAGAAATGCAGATTTTAAAAAAAGGATTGACAGCAGATGTTAAAATATGTCTCATGTAACCATGGAATGCTCAGATATAAATGACTCCCAAGTTTCATTCGTCCATATAATTTGTGGGGTTCAAAGATTCAATTTAAAACTGCATCCCTTTGCTATTTAAGGTGAAACATTATTAATATATTGGAAAACAATAGATTTATTCCTTTAACATGCTACTTTATTCTTTTTGGCAAATGATGTGGCCTGAAATCCATCCATTTCAAATATGTAAAGCTAACGGGGCAGATTCCTTATATTATTCATTATTTATTTATCACTTGTCTTGAGTGTATGTACAAAGGAAGCACCCCTATTAACTGGCATAATGTGTTTTTTAATTTTGTATAAATATAAACATATTTGTAAGTATAAATGTAATAAATAATATTTGTAAGGATAAATATAATTTTCTACCATGTGGCTATAGAATTCAGGATTATAAGAAATGTCATGTCAAGTTTCTCAACTATTTGTTGTGATTTACTGGGGAGAGGGTATTGTAACTTTGAAAGCTAAGATTGGTGCTTTATCTTTTTCAAAGATCTTAGATGTGGAGTTTTCTCAATGTTCTACTTGCAATAAGAGTTCTTTATTTTGGCGGTTAGAGCAATAGCAAAGCAGGTAAGGCTTTTGTTTTGCATGCAGCCGACGACCCAGGTTCGATTCCCAGAATCCCATATGGTCCCCTGAGCACTGCCAGGAGTAATTCCTGAGTGCATGAGCCAGGAGTAACCCCTGTGCATTGCCGGGTGTGACACCCCCAAAAAATTTTTTTAAAAAAAGTTCTTTATTTTATTATTTTAGCCTTACCAGGGGCTTTCTCAGATGGGAATCTTGAATTTATATGAAATGTACCTGCAAACTCAGCCTTTAGGTGCAGGGAAATTACAGGTGAATTCACCAACCCATGGAAGGAAAAAAAGAAAAGCACTTACCAGAGCAGGTTTCATTAGGCACGTGGGCAAAGAAACCGGGAAGGCAGCTGGCAATGCAGAGACCACGCTTCAGGAAGAATCCCTGGGCACAGACATAGCACCGGTCCCTGTGCTGACACTGCAAGCATCCCTGCGGACAGGCTGCCAAAGAGAGAACACACGAAATAAGGTCCATGAGAGACCCCGGCCCCCAGGAGGCCACCAGTGACAAAGTAAAGAATGAGACACCAGCCACATGGCTCCAATTGAGCAAGAGAGAATGCTAACAGCTTAAGATTGAGTCTCCAGGGCGCTGCTCTGCCCGTCAAAGGAAAGTACACTCTCACACTCTGCACTGTGATCAGAAAATGTGGCAAATGGGTTGTTTTAAAAAATTAACCTTGAGGGGCTAGAGCGATAGCACAGCAGGTAGGGCATTTGCCTTGCACGAAGCTGACCCGGGTTCAAATCCCAGCATCCCATATGGTCCCCTGAGCACCGCCAGGAGTGATTCCTGAGTGCAGAGCCAGGAGTAACCCCTGTGCATCGCCAGGTGTGACCCAAAAAGAAAAAAATTAAACCTATTGGAGTTGCTGAGATAGTACAACAGTAAGGGGTTTGCCTTGCACCTGCAGATCAAGGTTTGATCTCTGGCACTCCATATGGTCCCCTGAGCCAGACATGATCCCTGAGTAGAGAACCAGGAATAAGCCCTGAGCAACACAGGGGTATTCTAAAATGCCCCTCTCCCCCCCAAAAACCCCAATTAAACATATTGACTTGTAAGAGAGGCAGATGATGGCAGTTAAGAGCACAGAGCCTGTTTGGGTACTGAGTACCGTTCCTTCTCTACTACCTGTCAACTTGGGCATTTAAAAAAATAAAAACTTTTGTTGCAAGGGTCTCCTTTGGAAAATTTGCACCTAGTGCAAATAGTTGTTGAAAACATCCCATGCAATGTCGACGTGAAGTGACTAAATAGTGCCTGTCACACAAAAGGATTCAACTGCACCACTAATACCATTGCTACTTCTACCTCACCACTGTTGCTGTGATTATCATTTTAAGTGTATGAGTAGAGAAAGCTATTGGAAGGACTATGTGATTGTTTGGGGGAGTTAATTATTTTCCAAGAATCCAGTTTTTATTGCCTCACATTCCTGCTTCTCTTTGGGGAGAGCTTTCCAAGGAGTGAAGAGAGGGTAGAAGTCACACTTCTGGACACCAGGGCCAGATGGCTCAGTGCCAAGACCCAAGAATAAAGAGCTGTTTGAGTTGTGTGGAGTTGGGGACCACCAGAACCATCCCAGTGGTGCTCAGGGACCTGTTTTCTATTTTTTTAAATTTTTATTAATGAGACATCATGAGGTATAGTTGTAGACTTACAAATTTTTGTGCTTGGGTTTCAGTTATACAATGGTCAAATACCCATCCCTCCACCAGTGCCCATTTCCCACCACCACGGATCCCAGTATCTTGCCCACCCCCCATCCCACCCATCCAACCCTGCCTCTGTGGCAGGGCATTCCCTTTTGTTCTCTCTCTCTTATTGGGTGTTGTGGTTTGCAAAAGAGGCAATGGGTGACAATCATGTTCGGTCTATAGTCTACTTTCAGCATGCTTCTCCCATCCTGGGAGGATCCTCCCAACACCTTTTATTTGGTGCTCCCTTCTCTATCTGAGCTCCTCTTTCCCTTAGCATCTGTGGTTGGCCTCCAAGCCATGGAGTAAAATTCCTGGTACTAATCTCGGCCATTCTTGGGTGTTAGCCTCCTATTTTGTTACTTTATGTTCCTCAGATGAATGCAATCTTTCTATGTCTATCCCTCTCTTTCTGACTCATTTCCATTTGTCTATGTCTTGGCTATTGTATGATACAACAATAAATATAAGTGTACATATACACACCTAATATCTCATTTTAACTCTTTATTAATGTTTTTGAATCTCTTATTTTTTCCAACTGTAAAATAGGATACCATATTCTACCAAGTTATTCTGAGTACTGAATAAGATAATGCAGATGGAGAAAACTTGGTGAAATATAAAATGCCATGCCCAAGGATTAAATATCACTGTATGAAATATCAAGCAATACTTTAAGTTGGTACATGGTAATAATTTTTGTTAGAAATGATGAGGAAATACTGATGGATAATTCTGTGTACAAGACTTTGGGTGAAATTTCATTTAATAAAAGCCCACGGAGTCTCACTAATTTGCCTTATGAAATCCTACTCTCCAAGGGTATTATGACAACATCAGGGTCACCCGTGATTTAGTCTATTTACTGAAAATTCTACGCCCATATCAATAGGGCTGATCTATTCTTAATGGATATCACACCTGAGTTCAATATAAGCACTACATCCAATAAAATATTGGCTTCGTTTCCATAAAGACCTTTAAGGACAATATTGATTTGTGCAAGAGAATTATTGGCCTGCACTTCTAGATTCTATTTAACCAGCAATTGGCAGATGCTCACAGGAAGCCATCAATAACTTCAGCCAAGCTTCCGAGCTTTCATTTTGCTTCAACTCAGCTTCCCCTTGATGCCCTGCGCCTGGCACACCTGACTTACTTGCTGTACTCCCAGAGAACTTGGCATGATCTCCAAGTTACCTGTGCATCTGTGGTTTACACGATCGGCAAAGTACCCCTTGCCGCATTCCTGGACACACTGAGATTCCAAAAGGAGAAATGGTTCTTCACAGCGGGTGCACTCCCGGGGACCTTGGCACTGGAGACAGTGGCTGTCACAGCCTGAAAGACAAAAGTCAGTGGGTATGTGCAGGGTTTCCAAGGAGCTCCCAATCCTCCCAGCTGGTGGGGCAAAGTGCACTGCAGTCAACAAGGGTCCGAGAGTGGCTGAGATTATACTCGGCCTCTCCCAGACTTAGTGTTCTCTCCTCTAAAGTGGGAATGGACAGAATATCCCACCCGCTCACTGGAAAAGGATTAGACCACTTAGCACTGTCTGTAGCTCTGTCCTCCCATTGTTCATCGATTTTCTCTAGCGGGCCCAGTAACGTCTCCATTGTGAGACTTTCATTGTTACTGTGTTTGGCATATCGAATATGTCACGAGTAGCTTGCCAGGCTTTGCCGTGCGGGCAAGATACTCTCGGTTGCTTTCCGGGCTCTCCGAGAGGGGCGGAGGAATCAAACTTGGGTCGGCCAGGTTGGCCACATGCAAGGCAAACGCCCTACCACTGCTCCAGCCCTACGCTTGGCGAACCAGAAACATATATTCATCATTATCGTGACTATTCCCCAACCTTGTTTCTGTACAGCCTCTCTCCAGTGTCAATCTGTTCGAACTCAGCTGTTAACCTCACCAGAACGTTCCCGCAATGCCGTCTGGGAACTCTGAGTGTGCACTTCACACTGGAAAGATTCTGTGACACTCCAGTGGGGCTGAGGCCAGGGGAGAAAGCTCAGAGGGCTGGGGCGCATGTGTTGCATGTGGGAGACCAGGGTTGATCTCGGGCACTGCATGCCCTCCCCCCCAACACCGAGAATGTTATCCTGCCGATAAAATCAAGTGAGATTCCAAAGGGGTACCGGGCCTGATAAAAGTGCTAGGGAGGTCACTGATGTGTAGAGCATTGTGGGAGGCATGTGGAGGAACATGTGTCTATCATGTGCTCTGTAACCTCCTGATCTTCAGCTCATTTAAAAAAATTATTTATTTAAAGAATTTGCTCGTGCGGGCCCAGTAACGTCTCCATTGGAGACTTTGTTGTTACTGTGTCTGGCATATCGAATACTCTCGGTAGCTTGCCAGGCTCACCGAGAGGGGCGGAGGAATCGAACTCGGGTCGGCCATGTTGGCCGTTTGTAAGGCGAACGCCCTACTGCTGTGCTATCGCTGGCTGGAGCGATAGTACAGTGGGTAGGGCATTTGCCTTTCACGCGGCTGACCCGGGTTCAATTCCCAGCATCCCATATGGTCCCCTGAGCCCCGCCAGGAGTAATTCCTGAGTGCAAAGCCAGGAGGAACCCCTGTGCATCACCAGGTGTGACCCCAAAAGATAAAAAAAAGAATAGAAATTTATAAAGTTATTGACAGTTGAGGCTTTGAGATATGATGTTCCATCACCAGTCCCAATATCTGTGTCAACTTCCCTCCACAGGGTTCCCATGCTTCCTGCCACCTTGACAGGTACATTTCAGACATCAGTGGTGCTAGTTTAGATCTCATGGTTTCAGTGTTGTTAAGTCTGTGCTTTGGATATACAGTTATAAGCGCTCTCCTGCTTCATCAGCAGACCTGAAGCTCCTAACTAACCCCTGTTCCCCCATTCCTGCCCCTTCTCATCTTCTCCCTTTCCCAGTTTCTTTTCTTCTCTGTCCTTCTCCTCCCTGTACTCTGGGGACAGGGGTGAGTTGATACCCTCCCTTTACTATACTCTCTGCCCCATGCAGTTATTCTATAGGCCACAGGCGAGACCATCCCAGGTTCAGGATTCTTAAGTCCTTAAGGAAAACTATAGTTTGTAGGTGATTGTATACCTCAACGATGCTCAGACTGATCCCACATTTTAGTAAGAATATTTGGACAGGGAAAACAGAAATGAGGCCATTTTCATTGTAATGAAGCAGACGTTCTTTCAAAGCAGCCAGAAATTGGGTAAAATGCCAGAAAGGAAAATTTGCCAGAGGCTCTTTCTCAGAACAGTTTAAAAAAAAAATTCCGAGCAGGTGGCAGCTTGGGTGAGGACAGGGCGGAGGCTCAGGCACTTACTCTTTTTTTTTTAAATTATTTCATTTTGTAATCACAATATTTGATTACATTTAATATTCAAAATTACATTTAATATTCAAAATCCCACACCATGACACCTTCCCACCATCATATTTTGGGTGTTTCCATCCTGAACCCCATTCCCTGACCCAAAGCAGAACCAAAGTAACATATTTTGTATTGTTTGTTATGAAAATCGGCTGAAAATGCTACAAAAAAGTATCCTTAGGTGGCTGGAGCAATAGCACAGCGGGTAGGGTGTTTGTTTGCCTTGTACCCGGCCAACCTAGGTTCGATTCCCTGCATCCCATATGGTCCCTCCAGCACAGCCAGGAATAATTCCTTAATGCATGAGCCAGGAGTAACCCCTGTGCATCACCAGGTGTGACCCGAAAAGAAAAAAAAAAAGTATCCCTAGAGGAAAGAGTGTGAAGATTATTGTATTTCACCTGGGGGCCATCCAGCCCTTCTATGAGAGATCACTAACGCGTTGTTAGAGGTTGAGCCTGGCGCAGGCGCTTACCCTTGCAAAGGCCCGCGTGGCGGTAGAAGGCGGGCGAGCACTGCTCCACGCACGCGCCCTCCTGGAGGACGTAGCCGTCCAGGCACTGCAGGCAGTCTGTGCTCAGAGGCCCGGTGCAGGTGCTGCAAGTCCAGTGACACTCTGGGGAGAGAGAGAGAGCACATTAGCAGGGTTTCTTCCCGTCCGTTCTCGGAGTCAGCACCTCATTTCCGAGGACGCCGTCTGCAGCAGCGAGGGGGAACGCGAGAACAACGGGAACCGCATCAGAAAAGCGAGCCTTTGGACTGCTCGGCTTGTAGCAGCCTGAATGCCTCTAGACAGGTTCAGTGTTTGCTTGTTGGGTGTGACACGGGCAGGGGGGAAGGGTCCTTGCACACGCACTCGGAGCCCGCCTGGCAGCACGACTGCCCACAAGCTAAATCAACGGCATTAAGTTCCGCAGGCCCCGGCAATACGGGCACTTTTTTTTTTTTTTGGCCTTTTGGGTCACACTTGCACAGGGCTTACTCCTGGCTCTGCACTCAGGAATTGCCCCTGACGGTGCTCAGGGGACCATATGGAATGCTGGGAATCGAACCCGGGTTGGCTGCGAGCAAGGCAAACGCCCTACCCGCTGTGCTATATTGCTTCAGTTCAATACAGGCACTCTTTATCCCACCATATTTTGGGTGTTTCCCCTGAAACGTCTTCACACACAGCCTGCAGTTGGACCAGCCAAGGTGCATTGCAAGCCCAGACTGGAGCTCTGCCCTGGGTGCTCTCGGGAAGCCCGTCAAAGGCCCAACTACGAATGTGATCATGGAGAGTATCATGCTAAGTGAAATGAGTCAGAGAGAGAGGGAAAGACATAGAGGCACTGCACTCATGTGTGTAATATAAAGTAACATAATGGGAGACTAACATTGAAGGAAAGTAGAGATAAGGGTTAGGAGGATTGCTCCATAGCTTGGAAGTCGGCCTCACATGCTGGGAAAAATGCAGCTGGGATAGAGAAGGGACCACCAAGCAAAGGATGCTCAGAGGGCTCGCTCAGGATGGGAGATGCGTGCTGAAAGTAAACTATGGACTGAACATGATGGTCACTTAGTACCCGTATGGCAAACCATAACACTCCAAAGGAGAGAGAGAGTAAAAGGGAATGTGCGTGCCATAGAGTCAGGGGGTGGGTGGGGTGGGGATGGCGGGAGGGCCACTGGGAACATTGGTGGTGGAGAATGGGCACTGGTGGAGGGATGGGTACTCGATCATTGTATGACTGAAACATAAGCACAAAAGTTTGTAAGTCTATAACCTTATCTCAAGGTGATTCATTAAAAATATATATATATAACTATATTTTTAAAAATGTGTCTATGTCTCTAGCAATGCCAGGCACACGACTTCTGTTTCTTCTAACCCAGGGATAGGAAGAACCATGCTGGAGTTCAACAGGACCTACAGAACATTCCCGAGAGCAAGGGCTAACTGAAACCATAGAGGATCTCATTTAGAAAGTAGAACTGATTTATTCACATGCTTCTTCGCTCATCTACAGGAAGGACAGCACTGAAAGGGGACAATAAAACAGCAGGTAGAGTCTCTGCATCAAGGACCTTCTGTCCTGGAGGGTGCAAGCCTTAATGTGGTACAATAATCCAGCAAAACTGTGAGCAATACAAATCTTCAGGCGCAACATCAGAAGCAGTGAGTCTTGGGGAGCGGGAACGGGAGAGCATGTTGGGATGGTTGTTTGTGCCACTATGATTATTAGAGTGGTTGCCGATGCTGTGGTTAGTTTTATTTTGGACTCAGGCACGTCTGATGCAGTTCAGAAAGTCCTGTTTGAGAGTTCATGTTCTAGCTGTATGCATGGAAGACGGAGCAAGAAAGCATGCTTAAGTTCTTGGAGGTTGAAGCCAGAAAGGTCTGCATTTGAGTGATGGCTTTGCCACTTTTTGTCTTCTTTAAATCTTTTCTTTAAAAAAATCATTTTGGGGCCACACCTGACAGTTTTCAGGGCTTACTCCTGTGCTCAGGGCTCACTCTCAGCGGGGCACGAGGGACCATATGGGGTTCCAGGGATTGAACGTGGGTGGGGCACGTGCAAGTTAAATGCCCCACTCACTCTGCTATTGTTCGGCTTCTTCTTTAAATATTTTCTGCCTGACTTTTCTTACTGTAGAGAGCACGGCAAGCTACAGGAGAGTATCTCGCCCGCACAGCAAAGCCTTGTAAGCTCCTCATGACGTAATCAATATGCCAAAAACAGTAACAACAAGTCTCACAATTTGTCGTGAGATGTTACTGGTGCCCGCTCGAGCAAATCAATGAACAATGGGAGGACAGTGCTACAGTGTTACAGACTGATAAAAATCGTACCTATTGCATATGGGTGCTGTGAAGACAAAATAAACTAAACATATAAAGAACATGGGAGGCTAGGAAATAGCATGAAGAGGTGGTGTGCTTGACTTACATGCCTGAGATCCCAAGTTCAATCACATGGTCATTCCTGACCATGCTCTGGGTCCTCAGCCTAAGGATCAGTGAGTCCTCATGGTCCCCAACACCACTGGAACTGAGTAGCTAGTCACCAGGCCTGGAGCTGCTGGCATGAACCCCAGACTGCTGGGCATAGCTGGGGAGAGTCCCACCCAAATAAAGAGCTTAGCGCCATGTCTGACACACAGGAGCAGCCAGAGAGATATGTGCCGCTCAAACACTTTCCTGCAGAGCATCTATCTTCCTTTAGTTCCCTCATCTCTAGCTTCCTGCATTGGAAAGCAAGGGAACTCACTCATTAGTCACCGTTCTCTCTTCCCTGATGCAATATTTCTAAGACCCAAAGAGGCAGGTAAAATGTACAAGACAGTATCTGTGCCTCCAAGAAGATTTATAAAGTTAATCTCACCCATTTATTTGACGGAATCCGTCCTAAGGGAAAATGACGAAAACAGAATCTTGAAAATTACCAGCATAGTTATGAAATCATTTACAACGGGGAGGATTTGTGCTAATCTTGTTTTTCACCGCAAACTGACAACCGCTGGTTAGTGGGAGGGGCGGGGAGGGGGAAAGTCTTCTGTGGTCTTGAGCAGAGCAGACCACCTAAGTTGACAACCGAGCAAAATTTCTTGGATTGGAAAGTGTGCGATTTTGCAAAGCCTTAAAAGCGCCCCAAGTTTGCTTGACAGATGTTTGATCTCCATATCTGAGTTCCAGCTTCTCTGGCAGAACCAGGGTGGGATAAAGAAGGAAAATAGAACAGGAACAAGGGAAATTCATTGTTTAACACTCAGTTTTCCCTGGGCTAAGCTCCGTCACTCAAAGAGCATAAGCCCCAAGAATTACGATCCTGGCAAACAAGGAAATCTGTACCTGGTATTTGTCAGTCCCTCTGAAACTAGACCTGAGAGCAGTGTTTTCATTAGTACTCAGCAATCTAGAATTGTAAGGACAAGTGCCTACAGGGCCCAGGAATGTCACGAAGACCTGTGGAATGGGGCTGGTGGGAGAGAACATGGGCTGGTTGGGATTGTGGTATCTGAAAAGCTCATGATGCATCCAATATTGATGGCAGTCGCCTCTCTAGCCTATGAATGCAACTGTGGGATTGTAACTCCAACTTTGCTAAATGACTAAGTCTTCAGGGCTTTCATCTCAGCTTTTGTATGTTAAGCTTTCTGATTTGGGGGCAGAGGGAATCAGGACCATATCTGGCACTATTCAGAGTATACTCCAGATCTGTACTCAGGGGTCATTCCTGACCATGCTCCGGAGAACCATATGCTATATTGGGGATTGAGCCAGGATTGGTTGCATGAAAGGCAAGCATCTTAACCCATATATTATCTTTCCAAAAAGTTTTCTGTGTTTTAAAAGTCTAATGGTTTCTTTCTTTTTAAATTTTAATTTTTTTAATTGAGTCGCTGTGGGTTACACAGTTACAAAGCTTTTCGTGATCAGGTTTCAGTCATACAATGATCCAACACCCCTTCCTCCACTCATGTCCATTTCCCATAACCAATTACCCCAGTTTCTCTCCCGTCACTCCCACCCCTGCCCCCAACCTGCCTCTATGGGCAGGCACCCTCCTCCTCCTCCTCCTCCCCCCTTCTGCCTCCCACACCCCCCTCCTCCTCTCTCCCTCCTTATGGGCACTATGGTCTGCAACACAGATACTGAGAGGTTATCACGTTTGTTCCTTTATCTACTTTCAGCACACACTTCCTATCCAGAGTGATCATTTCCAACTCTCTTTGTCATAATGGTCTCTTCTATATCCCAATTGCCTTCTCCCCCAGCACTTGAGGCAGGCTTTCACTGTAGACCAATCCTCCTTGCCCTTGTTTCTCCTGTCCTTGTGCTTTTAATATTCTGCAAATGAGTGCAATCATTCTATGTCTGTCCTGCTCCTCCTGACTCATTTCACTCAGCACGACAGTTTCTTAAACAATATAAAAATTGGAGCATTTAGGTGAACCAAGAAGAACACACTGGGCCAAAATTCAATATGGCAATTTCCAGTTTGCTACCTACAGCCTAGTTACTGGTATCAGCATGTAACAGGGACTCAAAAATATCTGCCTGATGAACAAATGAATACACGATAACTTTTCACTATCAATCAGTAAAGTCTAAACATCGGATGATGGTTTCCCCCACCTCCCCCCCCAGTGTGGGGAATTAGAGATCAATAGTGTAGGAGCATCAAAGAGTCGTCATACAATCAGAAAGAGTTTTACCTCTGCAAGTCTTGGTGGAGAAGTCGAGATAGTACTGCGGGGCACAGGCCTCGTACTGACACTCCCCAAAGAGCAGGACCTTGTTGGGATCTCGGCAGGAGGTACAGCTGGCCTGAGAGTCACAACTTCCACACTGAGCATCACACGCTGAGCAGAGAGGACGAGGGAATGACCAGATGATTACAATTGCAAATATCGAGACACTGATCAAGACTAGACAGACAGATGCTGCCAGCAACAAAGGCCTACCCCGACCTCTTTCTTGAAATTATAGTCCGCAAGCCTCCCCTGAGATAAACAAAAATAGAAAACTGGAAAATAGAAAAGAAATATTTTCCAACTAAAAAAGAATAATCATACATCTGAGAAAAGATAAATAACAAATCCAAAAATGGAAATCCCATGTGCAAACTGCCCTTCAATTCAGCAGTAGAATTTCTATTTATTCCAATAGCTCTGGAATAATAGACTGGGGTTTATTTGAACCCTATTCTTTTTAAATCTTTTTTTTATTTTATTGAATCACCGTGAGATATAGTTACAAGCTTTCATGTTTGGGTTACAATCACACAATGATCAAACACCCATTCCTCCATCAGTGCACATTCCCTACCACCAATATCCCCTTTATACCCCCCCCCCTTTCCCACCCTCTCCCTGCCTCCATGGCAGACAATATTCCCCACACTCTCTCTCTACTTTTGTGCATTATGGTTTGCAATACAGATATACAGACACTGAGAGGTTATCATGTTTGGTCTTTTATCTACTTTCTGCACACATCTCCCACCCTGACCGATTCCTTCAACCATCATTTTCTTAGTGATCCCTTCTCTATTCCAGCTGCCTCCCCCCCCCCCCCCCCCGGCTCATGAGGCAGGCTTGAACCCTATTCTTAAAAAAACAAACCTCCTATAGCTTATTTGGTACATTTAGATTTTGATTTGAGGCCAAATTAGGCATCATCTTCATTGTGGAGCTCAGGAAGTCGCATATTTATATACAATACACTTAAAAGTGACCACCTGGCTTACTGATTTTTCCAGCTGTACTTCTCAGCTGGCATTCAGAGATGACCCCAAACCTGGCCACACTTCCATTTGTCTGATGTTACAACGGCCATCTCTCCTTCTACTGGCTATTCATGCCAGAAACCTGGAGTCTACCTTTTTTTTTTTTTAGTTTAATTTTTTTATTGAATAATCGTGAGCTACAGTTACAAAGCTTTTATGATTGAATTTCAGTCATACAATGATTCAACACCCATCCCTCTACCAGTGCACATTTCCCACCACCAATGTCCCCAGTATTCCTCACCCCTCACCCCAACTCACCCCTCGCCTCTATGGCAAGCACTTTCTTTCTTACCCTGGAGTCTATCTTGACATCTTTTTTTCTCACCACTAATCCATTCACTCAGGGGATCCTAGATATTTAAACTCTCCTATGTAATTCTCAGAACTTTTTGTTTTGCTCCATATCCACAAAGAGTTTAGCAAGATAAGCTTGTAAATACAAATAGAAGTGTAGTTGGATTTGAAAAGGTTTGAAATGCATTCCCACAAAGCGATCAGTAAATCTTTGCAAGCAGCATCAGAAACGACTCTAATGAGGTACCATAACCAAGTACTGCTTATTGGATCAGCACTTTTATAATGACTTAAAGACAAAGAAGTCATACTAATGATACGTAGACAGGTCCCAACCACCGAGGTGGGAAACACATAGTTCGTTTTCACCAGCAGAAAGAAAAGCAAATCAAACTTATTTTAACCAGTTGAAGAAAGAAACTGAAAATGAGCTAATCAAAGCAAAAGTATAAGTAACCCCTTGTCTATATATATCCAATGACTAAATGTACAAACAGAAGCTATGAAAGATCTTAGAAGTTACCACAAATATCATCAGAGTATAGTAGGTCATACTAGACGTGAATGGTTACTAAGGAAACAGTCTCAGACTCTCCATGTCACCTACATATTAGTTGTTTGTTTCCTCTTTCCTCCCTGTCCTCTGCTGACAAGGTGCTGCCCCAAAGAAGGCCCAAACTGCCAGTCCCTCAGTCAGAGGGTGACAACTAAGAGTTCCTTGTCATTGACTTCCTCAAGTTTCTGCCTGCCTATGTGTGTATGAATTTTCTCTATAGTCTTTCATCACCCTGCACCCCGAGGCCGCCTGGATATCTCTAAAGACAACTCTGTCTTTTCATTGGCTTCAAAAAGATGTGAAGGGGCTGGAGAGATAGTACAATTGGGTAGGGCTGTTCCCTGGTACATGGTGCACCCAGGTTTGAACTCCAGCATCCCATATGGTCCCCCAAGTACTGCCAGGAATGATTCCTGAGCGCAGAGCAGGAGTAAGCCCTGAGCAATATCCGGTGTGAAACCAAAACCTCAAAACAGACAAAAATCCCCAAGGATGTGGATTCATGTTGAGCATTCCGAGATGATAGAAGACACAAAAATAAGTAAATAAATAAATAAAAGTCACCTACTGCACTGTGTCTAAAGTTATCAGCTTTATCGTTGTCTGTGACTACGAACATCTGAAAGAAACACTGTTGATTCATTTTACATACTAAACTGTCTAATTTTTTTCTCTTATATCACAATGTAGGGGCTTACTTTATTCAATACAGGACAGAATGAAAATTAAGCATTAGCCAAAGATGAACGTTAGGAGATTCTTACTGCAATTGAAATAGCTATAAAATCATATTATATTTTGATAATGGCAGCATAGCAAATGCATTTGGGCAGAAATCACCCTGTACCCAAGCAAAACCATAAAGAGAAATATTTCAATATAATGCACTTTTGTCAACCTATCTTCAATAGAAAGGATGCTATTTTTTTTGGTGAGCTTTTATTTCTCTGATTCCACTCCTGTGAAGAGCTTCATAAATCTAAGTCACCATTTCTCCACCAACATGCTCTCACTTTTGAATTGAACATGCAACTATTTCATTCAAGTCTCTTGTGTTATAGAAACCAGAGATTCTGCCAGACAGTTGACATATATCAAGCAAAGTTTTTTATTACAAGAGTATGATTCTTTTCATTGATCCAAAAAGCGCGCTCTCTCTCTAGAATCTCAACAGATGACCTATAAATTCATTCCAAATGCAAATCCTTGAACACATCTCTGCCAATGCAATATTCCTATCTATAAAATAAATATACTGTTCACCATTTGGTTTGTTTTTCTTCCCAGATGATGATAAGAAGAACAGTAGCTAATGTACAGGAGAAATCTATTCTTTGTGAGGGTTTGTGCAAAGCAAGATAACATTAGATAAACATTCTATTAGCATTTCTTTGATAGAAAATATGCAAGGAAGCCTGGCAATTAGTTCACTTGGCCCAGGTCACAAAGCTAAATAAATGACAGGTGGGATTTGGAAGTCAGCCAGCTCACTCTTGGGTCCCACCTCGTAACCACTGCTGTACGCTTCCTTCCACATTGTATGTTCTAGAACATCTACTTGAAATATCAGCAATGTATTTGTAACTGTCGTTTTTTTTAACGAGACAGTGCAACAAATTTGTTTTTGGAAGATGATGCTTTCGTGATTGAAATAAACAAACTGCCACAGTGTATCTCAAAAGTGTTCCTTCATCCATGAAGTGTTCTTAATGAACCCATTCTGATTTGACCTTTTTAAAATTCATCTTAATTTTTTGCCTGACACAGGTAATTAATCATATTTTGATTTATTTTAGAAGACATCTACAAGATAAAATAACAGCCATGTGGCTGTTTGGGCAGAAACAATGCTTTGTAGCATGTCAAGCCTTGTATTGTGTCAATATTCAACAAGTGCATGTCAAAAGCAAATTAACTATTATCATAATCATAGTCCTTCTTTATTCTAACTGCCCTCTGCCCCCATTTGTGGCAAGCTTCCAACCATGGATTAGTCTTCCTGGTCCCTGCTTTTTCTGTTCTTGGATATTATTTTCATAGTGTGTGTTTTTAATATCCCACAAATGACTGAAGTCATCCTATGTCTTTTCCTCTCCTTTTGACTCTTTTCACTGAGCACAGCACTCTTCATGCACAGCCACTTATTAGCAAATTTTATGAATTCATTTTTCCTTGTGGCTGCATAGTATTCCACTGTGTAGATGGACCCAAAAAAACCATTGTGTATATGATCACTCTGGAAAAGAACTGAGTCCTGAAAGTAGGTAAAGGGATATACATGATAATGATTCAGTACCTGCATTGCCTGCCTACCATAATGCCCAAAAGGAGAGAGAGAGAGAAAGAGAGAGAGAGAGAGAGAGAGAGACAGACAGACAGACAGACAGACAGAGACAGAGACAAAGACAAAGACAAAGACAGAGAAGAAAAGTCTCTGCCATAGAGGCAGGTGGGGGGGGGGTGGCGAGGTGGGGGCAGGAGGAGGGAAACTGAGGACACTGGTGGTAGGAAATGCATACTGGTGTAGGGATGGGTGTTGGAACACTGTATGACTGAAATCCAATCATGAACAACTTTATAACTGTGTATCACAAAATGATTCAATAAAAAAAATGTTAAGCAATTTAAAAGCAGGGGATGGTGTCACCAATTTTGTCACCTTGAATGAGCTCCACTCTCCATTTAGGATCTTGGAATTAAATTGCCAAGAAAAAAAACTGTAGAAATGAAACAATTATTTTTCCCATAAATATTTAAAAACGAGACAACTGTTACTAATCTCGGCCATTCTTGGGTGTTAGTCTCCTATTTTGTTACTTTATGTTCCCCAGATGAATGCAATCTTTCTATGACCATCCCTCTCTTTCTGAGTCATTTAGCTGAACATGATACTTTTCATGTAGTACCACTTGTATGTAAATTTCATGACTTCCTCTTTTCTAACAGCTACATAGTACTCCATTGTGCAAATGTACCAAAGTTTCTTTAACCAGTCATCTGTTCTTGGGCACTCAGGTTTTTTCCAGATTCTGACTATTCCCAGGAGTGGTATATGGGAGCTCAATTTCTAACTTTTTGAGAATCATTCATACTGTTTTCCAAAAGGGCTGAACCAGTCGGCATTCCCACCAGCAGTGAAGGAGGGTCCCTTTCTCACCACATCTGCGCCAGCACCGGTTGCTTTTGTTCTTGTGGATGTGGGCCAGTCTCTGTGGTGTGAAATGATACCTCATTGTGGTTTTGATCTGCATCTCCCTAATGTTATTAATGATGTGGAGCATTTTCTCATATGATTGCCACTCAATACCTCTTTTGCAAACCACAACACCCAAAAGGAGAGAGAGAACAAAAGGGAAAGCCCTGCCACAGAGGTAGGGTGGGATGGGGGGGATGGGGAGTGGGAGGGATACTGGGATCCGTGGTGGTGGGAAATGGGCACTGGTGGAGGGATGGGTCTTTGATCATTGTATAATTGAAACCCAAGCACAAAAATCTGTAAGTCTTCAACTGTACCTCATGGTGTCTCACTAATTAAAAAAAAAAAAAAACGAGACAACTGAAGAACAGAGAAGTTACAATGAACCCAAGATCACAAGATCACACAGGTTGTACTTTGAGAGGAGATTCCGAATTTCCAAGCAGGTGAATATATGAGTGACAATATGCTAGCAGTGATCCTATACGAATTATTTACTCTCTTTGATGAACATAAAAGTTACGGAGCAAGATGACAGGAGTGAAACCTCTATATTCCCTACAGTGAGCTCAGCAGACAGAAAAGGAGGGAAAGTACAGTAGTAAAACCTACGCTGACAGGCACGGTTGCCATCGAGATAGTGCCCGGGGAAGCAGGTCATGCTGCAGGTGCCCAGGTGAGACAGAACGAGGCCGGGGTCACACGAGGAGCAGGAGAAGGGACCTCTGTCATGGCAGGTCCTGCAGGAGGAGTGACATTCTGCAAAGGGAAAAGGGAGACACACAGTGAAGCAAAACTCTCTTGCCGAGTGGCATCCTGAGAGCTGCTAATAAACGCCCCAACGCACCAGCTCAGTTTCTGGTCCCATGTGTGCCGTCTGCCTCCTCCCGCTCCCGGGGAGTTCAAGCCCTCTCAGCTGCCACCCCCAAAGACAAGCCCCTGAGGCCCGACGGTCACCACTTACTCACTTTTACAAGCTCCTCTCTCTGCATAGTGTCCGGGAGGGCAGCTGGGAACACAGTGGTCCCCCAGGAGCAGATGATGGGGATGCTGGCACGTCAGGCAGATGCTCTTGGGGCGTTGGGGCTGAGCCACACAGCGCTGGCACAGAGGATGGCAGTCTGGAGAGGGTAGGGAGTGGAGACAAGGCAGGGCTGCCGTGAGCACCACGCTCGTCACGACACCAAAGGGCAGACGGGACCGCAGTTAGCACCGGCTCAGCACACAGCCGGGGACTAGCCCGCAGGCAGAATCTGTCAGTGAAGTAGAAGCCTGGGACCTCTCCAGAGCGTGTGTCTGAGGCTGTTAGCAAACGGCCGGGCCCAGCACAGTGATTGAGTTTTCATTCGTTTTCACTTGGATGACCTTCAACTAGCGCAGCATATGACAGACACTTGCTCAGGGCACAGAGAACCGTCAGAATGAGATGCACAGAATCATTAACACTGTCAAGATGCCCCCAAGAGCTCCCTGAAGCCCAGTGTGACCCGAGGCCCATGCACAGTGCTCAGGTGCTATGTCCAGCGCCCTCTGTGTGGTTCCAGGGTCAGGAGAGCAATGTTCCTTCAAGTCACAAAGAAAAGTTGTGCATGAACCGTAACTAGCACACCGGAGCTCCATTGTACCAGCTGTGATGAGCTATAGGAAATGGTCCCACTAAGCCAGGACTGCCTATTGTTCGTTCTTTCCTTCCTTCCTTCCTTCCTTCCTTCCTTCCTTCCTTCCTTCCTTCCTTCCTTCTTCCCTCCCTCCCTCCCTCCCTCCCTCCCTCCCTCCCTCCCTCCCTCCTTCCTTCCTTCCTTCCTTCTTTGCTTTCTTCCTTTCTTTCTTCCTTTCTTTCTTTCTGTGTCATACCTGGCAATGAACAGGGGTTACTCCTGGCTCTGCACTCAGGAATTACCCCTGGTGGTGCTCAGGGTACCCTATGGGATGCTGGGAACTGAACTCGGGTTGGCCGCGTGCAAGGCAAATGCCCTACCCACTGTGCTATTGCTCCGTGACAGCATCCCACAGTGGAAGAATTTGTGCTCAGCTCCCACTGGAGGAGAAAACTTCCCTGCTCCTATTTTTCATGGTGGTTTTTTTTTCCAGTTCTATTTACTGCCCTCCACTCCACAGATGGGAGAAGAGTACAAATCCTGAGTTGCTCACCAGAAGGAAAAAGGAGAAAAGACCCAGGAAAGGAGATAGGTAAACTCCGACGTGAGGGACTTACGCTCCTCCCTGGAAAAGTCAAAGCACTATTTGCACTTGCTCAGGCACCATTCATGGACTGGGAATGTTTTATTTCATGAGAACAATTTGTAGATCCCTTATCCAGAGTAAATATTTCTGAATATCTTCACAGTGGTCCCTTCTCTACCCAAGCTGCCCACCACCCATCACCGTTCAAGGTAAGCTTCCAATCACTGACCGTTCCTCCTGGCACTTGTTTCTACTGTGTCTGGGTATTAGTCTCATACTTTGTTTTTTTTCTTTATATCCAATAAATGAGTCCAATCATTCTATACATGTCTCTTTCCCTCTGACTTCCTTCACTCAGCATGGACAAACATGATAATCTTTTAGTACCTGTACTGCAAAGCATGATGTAGAGAGAGAGAGAGAGAGAGAGAGAGAGAGAGAGAGAGAGAGACAGAGAGAGACAGAGAGAGACAGAGACAGAGAGAGAGGACTGAAACCCAATAATGAACAACTTTGTAATGTGTATCTCACTGTGATTCAATAAATAAATTAAAAGATAAAACCAAGTTGTGGATCAAGAGAGTGATTTCTAGTGCTGTTTAGGTTGAGAACAAAAAAGAAAAAGAATAAAAAGAGAAGAAAGCCAAAAGCACACTCAACAACTTCTGTTAATAAAATCATGCCTGTCTTTTGAAAACTGTGAGAACAGGTCTTTATTTCTCCATGCTGAGAGATACTTTCTTCATATCTGACCACTAGACATATTATCTACCTTAAGCAGATTTCAAACCCAGCAACCTTTAATCTGTACACAAAGTCTTTCTAGAACTGCTCAAGTTCCTCCAGAAGCTGCCCAAGGGAGTCCCCTCTCTCAAACACTGCTGACTTTTCTAGAAGCTTGGCAACTAGCAGCCACTGATCTTTGTCTGAAGTTCAGCAACTTCAAATTTCAGACAATTTTTTTTTGCCAATATAGGGTTAAATTCGTGTGTGTTTGTGGTTTGGGGGCAACATCCAGCAGTGCTCAGGGCTTACTCCTGACTCTGTGTTCAGAGATCTCTCCTGGCAGGGTTCCAGGGATTGAACCCAGGCTGGCCTTGTGCAAGGTAAACACGCTGTCCTCTGGACTATTGCTCCAGCCCCTTTCAGGTATTAATTCTTGATATCCTAAAATGCAAATCATTACCCAAGTTCTACAGGAAGCCATCCCTACCTCCCCACAATTTCCCATATAATTGCTACACAGTGCCAGCCTTCTTGCTCTCTCTCCCTCTGTGCAATCTTCAAAGTATGACAAACACAGTCCAAAGGGCAAATGTAAAAGCTCTGACAGTTGCTGGAACAAATGGCAATGACCATGCATGCTCCCTTGGCAAGGTAGACACATGTGAGGACTAGAAACGCAGGAAGCAGCACAGACGCAAGGCTCCACCCTCTGCAACTCCCTGGCCTCTTGCTCTCTGAAGCACGTGTTTACAGAACGTTCTGGGCCCTGGCGAGCGCCAACAAGCTCTGCAGGTGTCTGCTGGTCGAATGGCTGCACCTGGCGGAGTCTGCCTCTAGCGTGCAATTAGAGAAATAAAGTAGGAGGATCGCCAAGAGGATGCTTTGAAGAGAAAGTAGGCAGGTCTTGGGAGGGTTCGGCGGGTAGGATAAATAAATATTTATGGATTTGTCTCATCTTGGGGATCTCCAGAAGCTGTTTCGGAGTATAATGCATATGAATCAGTGCTAAAGGAAGCTCGTTCTTTTATGGACTTTCCTCCCCAGCCCCTGGTAGCTGCATTCAAGCCCTCACTGCTCTACCCTTCCACTTCTCCCTAGGACATTTATTTTCCTCCTTCCTTCAGGCCATCAAGTCCGAACATCTTTGATTCCTCCCTGCCAACCTCAGAAGATGTATCTTTACCCGTTTTTATGTTTTTCCTCCACTCCGCACAGCGGGTAGGGCGTCCGCCTTACAAGCGGCCAACATGGCCGACCCGAGTTCGATTCCTCCACCCCTCTCGGAGAGCCCGGCAAGCTACCGAGAGTATTCGATATGCCAGACACAGTAACAACAAAGTCTCCAATGGAGACGTTACTGGGCCCGCTCGAGCAAATCGACGATCAACAGGAGGGCCTTTACCTTTACCTTTACCTTCCACCCCCAAACGGAATGAAATAGATTCCTCCATCCACATTCTTGATCTAATTTTCAGCAATATTGCATCTTTTTTTTATAAACCACCCTTTGGGCCACTGCCCCTAGTCTTCTGTTCTCTTGGTTTGGCTCTCAGGGATCACTCCCAGCCGGGCTGGGGGTCCTATGTGTTGCTGGGGATCAAACCTGGGTGACCACATGCAAGACAGTGCCTTATCCACTGTACTATCTCTCTGGTCCCAATAATTACATCTTTTATCCCACACCTCTTCACTCTTCTTGACCTGAACCTCCAGTTATGTCCCGTCTCCCCACCCCAAAGGGCAAACCCCACCTCTTCTCCTTACCACCCAGCATCCTTGAAACTGTGATCACCTTTCTGTCATCTGCCCATCAGCTCTAATTCTTCTATATTATTTGTTCAGATAAGCTCTCTGATAACCTATTGGGAAATAACTCTAAAGGCTTTCTCTAATTCTGTAGCCTACTCCAAACCTTCCCAATACATTTCGACCACCCCTTCTCTTTGACATCATGTCTCCCCTTACCACTGTCTTGGTGTCCCTCTTAGTCCCCCTTTCCTGCCTTTAGTTACAGGATCAGTGTGGAGATTTCTTCTAGCCCTCAACTTTTCTTAACAAATTCTCACTCTTTGAAGGTCTTAGGAAAGATACATTAGCATCATATTTTGGTAGCGAGCTGCCAAGAAGCTGTGTGAAGTAACGGTTACCACCATTGCAGAGATGCTAAAACCACTTAACGCCTCTCTCACTCTGAGACTTCATGTTAAGCCACAAGAAGCAATTGGAGATATACATTGTATGATGATATTAGTGGTCAGAAGCAAAAAAATAAAAAATCAATAAACAATACCTGAAAATATAAAACAATCAACGACATGTTCCCAAAATGTTATACTAATTCAACTTAGCTTATGGTTTTTATCTTAGAGTGAGAATTTAACTGCTCAGAGTCTAGAAAGCTAGACTCTTACTGATTTGTTCATGAGCTGTACTCATCCTGTGGTTAAAAAAGTTATAGTAAGAAGCTGGAGAGCTAGTACAGCAGTCAAGGTGCTTTGCCATGCATTCAATCCTGGTCTGGTACCCTGCACTGTGATGGTTCCTCAAGTACTGCCAAGTGTCACACCTGAGCAGAGAAATAGGACTAGCCCCTGAGTATCACTCCAATCAATCACCTCAATCAATAAATGATATACTGAATATAAATAAGATCCCATAATAGATTCTCAAACACCCATCTGAGTGGACCTGTGCTAATTCCTCCAAGCAAACCTTCCTTCCCACTCTGTCCTATACAAGCCATAGCAGAAGACACTTACATAAACAGGTTCTAAAATCCTGCTCTGATGGCTGACTGTCTTTATAAAACCAATCAGAAAACCAAACCCTAAAACCTAGAAGACAACAATTGTACATGAGACACTAGAATTTAAAACCTCTTTGGAACAATTCTCCAGGGAGAGCTCAATATAGTCAGGGAAAGAAGCCAAAAAAGCAGAGCAAAAGGGTTTGAGAATGAACAACCAGCACTATGACTGGCCACTGGAAAAGTTTGGCTCCCAACACAGACTAGAGGACTTGGGCATAACAGCTTGTGGTCAGCCAGTCCCACTGGGTATAACTGCAAGCAAGTATGCAACGGGTTTGTCCCAGGCCCATTGTTAGCACCAGCACAGCAGACAGGCTCAAGAAGGGATGTGACCCAAACTTTAATAACAACATTTAAAAGGTTTCTGTCAAGATGGTAGACTGGGGCTGGGGTGGGGAGGAG